CGCGTCCGGGCCGCCGCGCCGCAGGACGGCTCCCCGCTGCCTGTCCGCCCCGGGCTGGCACCCCTCTCCGCTCCCGGCCGGGTGTCCGAACCTTGGCCCGCCCTCAAGGGCGTGGAAGGGCCTGGGCCCAGCGTCAACCGTGACCTCCACGCCCTCGAGGGACCGCCGAGAGCCCGCTTGGTCAGCAGGCCAGCTATGAGTAAAGGCTCCTTCCCAACGAGCAAACCTTCGCAGAATTTGCGCTAACGCCCCCTTTCCTGACCTGAAGTCTCCCCCAAGTGTGATGTTAGTTCACAGAAGATAAGAGCTCTTAGGATTTTCCATGCTGTTGGAAACATGGAGTCCCAGGGTGGCTACAGAAAGACACCTACGGGTCACCTATTCTTTGGGTCTTGACTTGGGGATTCCTCGTGGTTGGGTCCAGCTTTAACGTGATTGTGTGTGTTTTTAGATCGCAGTGCAGTGTTATGTACAGAAAAATTTGAAAACCGAATTGTAGAAGTCATGAGAGTGGTATCCACATTGTGCCCGTAAACCCTAAAGGTGGTCTTTCTTCATTCATGTGTTTCTGTCCTGTCTTTAGTGTGAGCTAAAAATCCTTATACAGTCATTCCACCCTTCAATTTAAGATGTTAAAGCTAACACCGTATGTGAGATTATCCCATGCATTTGACTACAGAAATTGTTGGGTACACTCCTTTGAGTGAGACAAACTCTACTTACCAACATTGTTAACATATAGCTTCAGGTTTATATGTAATGTTTTCAACAAGATCAAAGTTAGAAAGATTGATATTAAAGGGGATATCTTTTTTTTTTAATGAGCTATTCCATTTAATTTCAAAACTGACTTATGGAGTGGAAGGCCATCATAAATTAGGAGGAGTTGCCTGTATCTAGTTTTATGGTGTAGGAATCCTGTGGGGAGAGTTAGCTAGTGCTGGGATTAACTTTAAACTTGTTTGTAATCTATTTACATGCTATGGTGCTCTTTCTGAGTTTCATATGTATACTCTGAAGTGGTTAATAATTTGAGGTTTGATTTTAATTTTGTAAAAGCCATTAATGCAGAACACTTTCTTAAAACTAGTACTGTTAAATACAGTATCATAGATCCAGAATCCTTTCATATTATTAATTAAATGATTGCTTTGATTTGAGCAGTAAATTGCTTCATATTCCCATTAGATTAATTATTTGACTTAATGTTTGAAGGAGGCCAAGGCTGCTCAGCTGTAATGATAATATATATTTCAGGGGGGGAAAGCTTTCTTTCATCCGTCCCCATGGCCTTAGTCATTTTTTAAGGAAAAACTTAATGGATTTTTTTCCCCCCAATCAAACAGAGCAGTATAGCTGTGACTATGGATCTGGCAGATTCTTTATCCTTTGTGGAATTGGAGGAATTATTAGTTGTGGCACAACGCATACAGCACTGGTTCCTCTTGATCTGGTTAAATGCAGGATGCAGGTTTGTTTTGCATGTCAGACTAAAGTATATTGTTGAAGCATGGCTGTTAGGATGTAGTCATCTACTAACAAGCTGTGTTGAAACCTAACAATCCAGGAGGTAAGTTGATGGCCAGTAGTATGAGTTTTACTTTAAACTGCATGGTGTGTCTTGTCTTCACTACAGAATACAGTTGTGAATATGGCTCCATGAAGTTTTATGCATTGTGTGGCTTTGGTGGGGTCTTGAGTTGTGGGCTGACACACACTGCTGTGGTTCCTCTGGATTTAGTGAAATGCCGAATGCAGGTTTGTATTGAGATGACACCATTAAATTTTTATTGTCTCTTCGTGTGTGGCTTAATGCCAAGTACAGTCAAGTGTTTTTCAATGTCCATGAAGCATTCAGTGAGGTAGACTTAATTACTGGGATATGTAAATCACATACAGAAAGACAGTTCCCTGGGTATGAACTGGTCAGTTCCTAAGTTTGCCTTTAAGGCAAAGTTCAAACAGTTATGTACAGTTCCTATTTGAAGTCAGTCGGATGCTTGCTTTAGTATATAGTATACACTTCTTTGCCTTAAAAAAGCATTAAAGAAGCCATTCCAGATACACTAGAAGATTTTTAACATGAGAATCATTTTGCTGTGCATCCCCCAATCATCATTACAAACCATTTACCTTGGATTCTGTGTTATGGGGGTTGGCCACATAATATGTGGCTTGTGACTGTACTCTTAAGGACTTCTATAAGACTTTGAGGACATAACTGGTGCTATAAATTCTAGTGGGAGAGCAAACTTTACATTTTTGATATGTGGGTAGATTGTTCTCTTGCTCTAGGGGGTAAATGGCTCTTTTGTGAGTGGCTTGCTTCTGGCCTTTAATGGCTATTGATACTTAATGCCAGAAGTAGTCATTTCAGGATGGGTAATTTAGTTTTTGTGTATTTGTATGAAGTAGCTGTCTTAACCTACTGATAAGACTAAGGTTCCATCCACTATGTAGGAATTTTTAAAAATACTTGTGATATCTTGGGGAAATTTTTTACGCATAGCCTCTTACAAATTTATTTAAAAGTCAGTTTTTTAACTGAATACCTTTTGATTAGAATTCTTGAAACAAAAATAATCAAACATCAACAATTTATTTGTTCCAAACAGGATTAGAAGTCTACTTACCTAAAAGAAAGGAAGGTGAAATATTAAGAGGGAGAGGAAGGTGATGTATACCAGCCTTTCTAGTACTGGTGGAGATAGTAAGATAAGATTTTCCCCCCATTAGTTGATAGAATGGATATAAAACATACTTTGTCTAAAATTTCTTGTGCATGTCTTTTGAAGTGAATTTAAGTTAGGACAGATTCTCTTTGTTTTGTAATTTTTAAACTTGTATATAATTTGGCTGTCTTATAATTACAACACTTAAAAGTGTGGTCTGCTTCATAGATTCTCATATATTAGGAATAGTCGTCTTTAGGTTGTCACTTTAAGACAATTTCTTTTTCTAAGTAGAATTAAATAATGAAAAGTCTCTTTTAGGGTCCATTTTACTCTTAAGTGCTCCTGCAGGACTTGAAGCTAGACCTTAGTGTACAAAAAGTTACCCTCTTCAGGGATGGTCACAGGTATTACGCTGATGTAATTCGGTAAACTTGCATTTACATTCTGTAGTTACTGAAGTTTATGTTTAACATAAAAGGAAAAATAATCGATTCCTGGAAAATTAAGTATTTATGGGAAGTGTTAGCTTTCTTATATATTAATAATGATTTTTTTTTCTTTTAAATAAAGGTGGACCCCCAAAAATACAAGGGCATATTTAATGGATTCTCAGTTACACTTAAAGAGGATGGTGTTCGAGGCTTGGCTAAAGGATGGGCTCCGACTTTCATTGGCTACTCCATGCAGGGACTTTGCAAATTTGGCTTTTATGAAGTTTTCAAAGTACTGTATAGCAATATGCTTGGAGAGGTATGTAATTTAATTTGAAGTGGGAAGTTTTGAGCAGTAAACAAATTTTTAAGTGCCCCAAAATTATCAAAGTGTTGTCTGATCCACCTTAAGAACTCAGTGAATGATCTTATCCAGGGTGAACAAAATGCCTCAACTCATGAGGTTGTTTATTATCAGAGGCAAAATGAAAACATTTTTCATTTGGTCT